TGTACTCCAGGAACTTCATCATGTGGTTACGCTCTTCGTGTGCATGGCGAAACAAAAAATTGGCAATGCCTTCATATCCCTGATCATCGGCCCAAGACGCATAACCAAGGTAAATCTGCGCCGCATGGGCTTCTTTGGTCATTTGCGCGTTCAACGCCGCGGTAAGCGTATCAGAAAGTCTGTTCGTTCTCATGGTGATTCTTTTTCTGTTTAAACTGCTGTATAATCATGCCAATAATTAAATGCAAGGTCAAGAGACAGACCGGCTTAACCCCATTATCCATTTCATCGCCTCTTATTCCCGTTTTATCCGGATTATCATTGTTGTACACAACAAAGGAATATACCTTTACCAGCGTACCCCCTAATAACTGCTTATGACAAACAAAAAGAAGATACTGGTTGTGGTACTGCTGATCATTGCAGCCCTGGCAATAGGTGCTTATATGCAGTGGAACAAACCACATCCTAAAGCGGAAGACCAGCAGGCCGTTTCGATAAATGCAGAAAATCTGTTCACGGCATTTACAACAGACGAAACAAAGGCCAATAACACCTACCTAAATAAGGTACTGGATGTAAATGGCACGGTGGGCGAGTTATCTAAAAACCAGGATGGAAAGACGGTAGCCGTTTTGACCGTATCAGATCCGATGGGCGGTGTACAATGTACTTTCCGGGATGATGTTTCTTTAAAAGAAGGAGCGCCCGTGCATGTAAAAGGGTTTTGCAATGGATATACGCTCGTGGTATTGCTGAATGATTGCGTGCTTTCTAATCAATAAACCATGAAGACAGCTTTATCTATTACACTGATCAGCCTGATGGCGGTTACCCTATTACTGGCTTGCAAACACAGCAGTACAGAGGTGACCCCTGCGGGGCCAGCACCGGGCGGCGGCAATAATCCCGTGCCTGATACAGCACTCTGTTTTGAGCGGGACATTCTTCCGATCTTTATTTCCAATTGTGCAAAGAGTGGCTGCCATGATGCGGCAACGCGGCAGGACGGTTATGAGTTTACCAGCT